CCCTCGTGAATTATTTTACCTTTCTCCCCCTCTCTTTCTCCCTATCGACGTCGGCAATTCAAGGTATATTCGGGATTAATTAGCGCGTACACGTACACGCGAGGTCTGATTGACGGTGAGTATTAAAAGAAACGCTAATTGCAAGATACGACATTTTTTACGGGACCTTTCGTTCAAGATGATCGTCACTCTTCGTCTCGTTTTCTTAATTAATTGCGCGCACTCAAAGGAACCTTCCGTTCTCTCGTTCAGAATTCGCCACTAAGTCCAAAAGTGAGTCCGCACCCTTTTTTGGGAAAACGCTGGATGTGCAGAATCGTTTTCTTTGCAGTGCAAATGTTAGTTATGTGACTTAATAAAAAATTTCTATTTTAGTCTTGACAGCTGCAATTGGAAATACCGAGAAATTTATAAAATCAAGTAATTGATATTTATTAATTATTACGCAATTTATTTTGATTTTTGAATAAAATTCTTCACTCAGCTTTCTTTGAAAATTACTTATAGCTTAGAACCATCATTTTCTGCGTTGCAATTATTCGCCTCATTCGTTTGCTGTTTAAATTACACACGTAATCTCTCCCTTCGGAAATCTACACCGTTCGCAAATATCATATAACACAATTCGCATACAGTTGCCATATGAGAGACGGAAATACGTGGTGTAGTAGTTCTTGATATTACGTACCAGAGTGAGAAGCAGGAAGAGACATATTCTCGAGAGATAGAAACAAAAAGTAAGAGAGAAAGAGAACAAGAAAGAGTTAACAGAGGAAAGAAGAAAGAAGAGGTGTTGTTGGGTGAAACCGGGTGCCACCGTGGGATGTCGGTATCAGCATCCCAGGCATTCGCTACCTCTTTTCGTACTTCCAACTCCAGCACTCTGAGCACCGTCTCGTTCTTTCTCCATAACATTATCCATCAGTAATTTTTTTCTTCAGCTATTGAAGTAAAAATGAGTGGGCGCTTTCGTGGTAACATTTTCTGGTTTTATAGTACGTTTCGTATGGCATATAAAGTAATTGAAAACTACATTATTAATGTAATATTATAATGTAATGCATACTATTTTTTCTGCGTTTCTCATTACTCGCGTGTAGTTAATTACTACGAATGGCTAACAAACAATATACATATGTGAGTTATTAAAATCTTGAATTAAAACCTGTATAGTTTTTAATAATTAAGAGGCAAATGAGAGAGGGAGAGAGAGAGAGAGAGAGAGAGAAGAAGAAGAAGAAGAAGGTAAAGAGAGAATACACACTGGGTTTCCTTTAAATCGATCTTCTTTCAAGATCCCTCGTAGAACACGGATCGGCACTACCCCTATATATTTCTAACCCTCGGCCGTCGTAACGCCCCTCTCGTTCTTGTATGTCCAAGGCTAGACTGCTAAATATTTCAGACAGCAATTCCAACTCCCAGATACAAATGCGCCATCCGACAAGGACGGGGAAATTAGTAGATACATCGTATACTTAATGTCCTTGCATTTGACTCCTTCAGTGTGACAGCGCATCTCGGAGGCCTTTTGCATGTTTTTAATTCCAAGAATTTATCATGTTTTATTGTGTGCTTCGTGTATATTCTTTCCCGTAATGAAGCTATGAAGAGGCAAAAAAAAAAATATTTTTTTCGAAAGGAATGAATATATCTCTCGAGAAACGAGAGAAGGATTAAAATTGTAATATATTTTATATTTCAAGTAAATTGATAGAGCTATAATTAACTCAAAGTTTGGTATACAAGTGTTGCTCAGGTTTCAGAAAGTTTCGTATAAATCATTCGCAATAATTTTTCTTTCTGTCCAAACTGCATAAACCCATAGAACGAGAAAATTCCATGGAGGATTTTACTCGGCGCCTCCCTTATCCGGCGGCGACAGCAAAGGCGCCGAAGAAAATAACACAGGTCTGCCGAGCGAGCGCACCAGCGAGGGTTGCAGGGTGCTCCTTCTGCAGCGGGGTAGGGATAATAAGGAGCAGGTGGTGGCGCGTGCTCGTTTATACAGTCGGCACCCGTGCCACGTGGGAGCGCTGGTGGGGCTGGAAGAAACGGTGACGGTGTACGTCGAAGAAGGGAACGACGGCTAAAGGACGGCTAAAGGTGCCGTAAAAAACGATGCGTTGGTCCACTGCCGGTATAATGAACTTTTTTACTGCGTCAACATCGAGTCTTGCGTGTTCGTGCAAGAAAAATGCAGCGGCGATTTTTCGCAATAATTCTGTCAAAATTTTATTCGTCATTGTATAATATTTCTTTCTATTCTTATATTTTTTAAATTATTATTGTTATATTTTGTTACAATCTGTAAATACAGTTAGAGTGCTTTCCATTTGATGACACAAGTCGATACAAATATCGTTATCCATTGAATGCTGAGAAAGATAGAATGATGTCTACGTCGACTTGTGTTATTAAATGGCTCCCTTAGGGACTTATTTTATGTACAACTCTTGACAAGGTTGGTATCCTTAATAATGTCGTTGCGCAGCTTTTTTGTCATAAATATCTGCGCAACAACGATACCGTCACTGTCGTGAAGAGTTACAGAACAGGGACTTGTAATTAGTCTCTTTCTACTTCTTGTAACTTTATTTTCTTTGCTTTAACGTTGTCCATGATTAAAATACTCCTTGGATAAGATGAATGTTTGGGAATTAAATGGATGAAGGAAGTTACTCATAATCCATTGATATATTTTTGTAAAAAAAAGAATCATTAATAATTACGAATGAATAAATGACTCTCTTTATTCAGCTTCCCCAACTATTTCAAATACATTATATTGTAGAAATACATAACCTTAAATCTCTAGGTAATATTATATACTACATATTCTTTTAACTTTTGCTTAAATGGCTCAAGTCTCTCGTACTGCTTTAATTTATATAGTAAGGCATTATACATTTTTATAGTCCATAAAACATACTCTTTCATGCAGAACACTTCTTGTTCTGCGGAATTTTACTGTAATATTTATGTAGATGAATTATTATTTTTTATATAAAGCATTCTTAATTTAATAATGTAATAATAAAGAAAACTGTTTCTCAAACTTATGTAATATTATGCAATTTTGCGAATAGTTTTCTGTCATCTTTTTACAATTCTTCCGAACAGTGCTTTAACGAAGCACTACAATATCAATTGCGCTCTCAAGCAATGCACGTAGACATCTTTCTTTCTCTTTCATTGCACGTGTGTTTAAACGTATAATTGCTTCTCGTATGACGACTCCTGTACAAATAACGCGGACGGAGCGCAGCCGTCATCGACCGGAGTGATCGCCACGTGTCGACCGACGTATCCCGTGCTGGATTACACGCGCTGGACTAACGCACTAATTATAATAATGAGAGGTAGAGAGATACACAAGAGAAAGGCAACACCTGCTACGTACTGGCACCCGCATGTGGTCGAGAAGGTGATGACCATCGCAACAACAGCGTGACGCGCGCGTCTTCCATCTTCGGCGCAGCGCCTCTCGAGCAGGGCAAGGAGTAAAAGGAGACAACGCGAGAGAAGAGAAGGAGAACGACGGCTCCTCTTCGACCCTCGAAACGGGTCGGCCGGCTGATCAAGGAGGAAGGGCAGGGTATGGCAGGTGTCTTGCCGTCTGGCAGCTGCCTCCCACCTGGGACGAGTCGAACGCGCCGTGCTGTTGTTACTCTTTCTCGCTTGCGCGGTTACATACGGGTACGAATGCACCGTGCGCGAGTACGGTGTCACGACGGCATTTCGACAGCAGGTACGTATACCACTATACACGTACGTGCGTATTTGTGAGCGGGCACGGTATAATTCGGAGCGCACCACCTGGCCGATGCCGCTAGCCGCGGACTCCGCTCTCTTAACCCTCTCTCTCTCTCACGCACAAATTCTGGATATTTTTCGCCGTATGGTGTGGCGTAAAGAGGAAAAAGAATATCGGACGAACGAAAAAGAGGAGAACGCACGAAAGAGGAAAAAGGGGGGAGGGGGGGAGTGACGGAGGCTGAAGAGTCGGCTCGTAAAGACGGTTAAGTCCGGCCGAACAAAATAATGCCCGTGTACTTAATACCGTAGATGATGGTAATCGTAATTTCGTTGTCGAGGGTCAGAGGGGAGGGGGCGGTAATAAAGTTACACGCAGTTTATTGGATATAATGCGCCAAGGAAGCGCGAGTGGCGGGGGATTTCATTAGCGCGCGAGAGAGGTGCGCGACCGTCGCGGTAATTTACGGCTCTCGCCGCGTCTTTCTTTTTTTTTCTCTCTCTTTTCTTCCCTGCCTAAGCCCACGTTCGTGATCGCACAACGAGATTATTAATAGAATATGCAAAAATGCACAAAATAGCGATTAAATTTGATTCGCTCTAATAATAGGTTTTATTAATCGCTTAAATATGAGCGTACTTTAATTAAAGCTTCGTCTCTCTCTCTCTCTCTCTCTCTCTCCTTCCTTATTATTTTATAATTTTATTATTATTTATTTGGTTTATGTTTTTTGCGACTACATTTTTTCTATATTATTTGTCTTTTCTTGTATTTTCTCTATTTTCTTCATATTGTTCACCTCTTGTTTTATTTTCATTATTTTTCGCTGCATTCCAATCGCATTTCTTCACCGAACCTACATACTTAAAGGGCTTGCCCCAGAATGTTAATAAATGCTGTATCTACCTATCTACCTACTCTTTCTTTTTTTTTCTGTCAATTGTAGCGCCGGCTACGTCGTGGCATTAATTTCGATATCGCGCGGCGCGGAGTTCATCGGGAACGCGATGATTTCGAGGCCGACGTCAATTTAACGGGCATTGCGTGACAAGCCCTTCCGCTTTTCACTTCCACCATAGTGCCCTGATCGATTCTCTAAATTCTCCACTTCGTTGGATTTGCCGAATGCGCGCAGAACCGCAAAACCAATCGTTTCAAACAAAACCACCGCCGAAAGGTGCCCTCTCCCTTTCTCTCGGATTCACTCGTGCGGCCGCTACGTGCCGCTACGATTTCACGGTTTTCAATTTTGTTCCCGAAAAACTTTTTAATTTGCCGACCGGTGCCTTACGGCGATTTTACGAGCGCGCCGTACTGCACTTGTACACCGAGTTTCGATCGATTTTCGAGATGCACGGAGTCACCCGCCGTTGTCAGCCACGCATTTCGCGCATCCGCATTTCCATTTCGCTCGTTCTTCCTTCGTACGGTCCGTCTGTCCGAAAGTTCGTTGATTTACACACGCGGCCCTCGCGCGCATCGGAGTTGTGCATGTTAAATACGTACGCGCACATGTCATCGTCCGCCTCCGCTTTCACGGGGATGAAATCGATACGAATCCTGACGCGCGTATTGGCAATTCAACGCGCCACCGCCGTCCACCACCGTCGACGCACGATGTCTTCTTTAATGCACGTTGATTTCTCTCTCTGCTTTTTTTCCCCGCTAGTGAAAATATTTAGATTCAGGTTCGGGTAGGTTAAACACACAAAATCGAACCCGTCGGTGATCCCTCGAGCCAAACCGACCTGTAACGAAGTTCATTTAAATAGAATACAAAGTTAATTGGAATACAAATGCACGAATTAAACTCGGCCGGAAACTTCAAAAAATGAAAAATAACGCAATTCTCAGACCGAGGCGAGAACACGTCTGCCTCAACTGAGTCACACAAGATGCAGAAATATTTAATGCGATCGATCTTGGATTAGTACTCTTTACAGTACTTAGGATACTTTACGAAAGCGCCGTTCATTAAATCATAGTTAATCCTACATGAAAAAGTTGGAGTTTAAGTATCTGAAAATTTAGCCAGATACAGATCTGAAAATAATTTTTTGAACAATTAAAATAATTATGTACACTAAGGAAAAATTTAGTCGACTAAGTTAATTTAATTCGTCTTTATTTCTTTTAATGGAGAAAATACATATATTTAATTCAAATATAATTTATATTTTCCAACGAAAGAAATAAAAACACCTAAATTAATTTAGTCAAATAAACAATTTTTTTTTAGTTTAGGACACAAAGTAATTGTTAGAATGTCAAAATTTTTGGAGCATTGCACTTGACATCCTTACGCAATTATTTTGATTGATCCAATAAAATTATTTTTAGATCTAGCTAAATTTTAGTTCAGTAAAATCGTGTGGATAATTGGGAAAATTAATAAACTATCGTATAACTCTTTATTTGTAATTAATAAAACCATAAAATATGTATTACAGGCAATAGGAGTCGACGCTGGTTATCATTATTTAACCGACTGTCGAAATGACAAGACACATATTGTTCTCGCAGTTATTTTTTAAAATTTGACAATAATTTATAACATATTAACGAGTTACAAAATGTTAAATAAGAGAGATTCATTGTTCAGTGTAGAAACGTCGCGACTGTGTGAGCTTGAGTTCTCATTGCCACTCAGCTTTCTAACTTTGTGAGTATGTGACTTACCTCACAAAATAGTAAACGGTTCAATATTTGAGAGGAAAAACGTTGGAGATATCATTTTGTCATGCAATACTCCAATCTTAATTACGCTAGGGTGAAAGATTGCTGATGAAGACTCAAATCATGAGTGGAAACGTTCAAAGTTAAGGTTTATATATTTAGTATTAAGAGAAAAATTGAGCTGACTGATAACCAGCGTCGACTCCTATCGCCTGTAATACGTATTTTATGGTTTTATTAATTATTTTAATTAAAGGAGTTTGTAAAAACTTATTAGTTTTTATATTAATTTGTAATTTGTCATTCTAATTGGACGTTTAAAGCTCGTTAATTTCTACCACTTTTGCCTTAATCTCCAGTTTAGCCAAACTTTC